GAATCTAACAATTGTACTACTAGTACTACACTAGAGCTACAGTCCAGTTAAACCGACCAGGCTCTCCGACTAGTTACACGGCGCCACGTAGTGTTAAGCGAGATGGGAACTTGTGGCTACAGTCCAGTGAACTAGACTTTGACGACTAATCTTTATCATTTATGTCAGATGGCCGAGTAAAGACTAAAGGCCCTAACCAGATAGATCTGTCTATTTGATCAACTATGTTTCTTTCCGTCTTCGATATAGTCCCTTGGACTTTGAAGACTAATATTTAAGAAGTTACGAGGTTAAATTACGAGGTTACCTAATCCGACGCCGACGGGTTTACTTGCGACAAGAATTTGAGCGTTGCCATGACGCGGTATTATGTTACCCATAATGCATTGCAATATTTTAAAATGTACGATCGCTAAGTTACGATTGCGATGATACTACGTTACGTATCTATGCCACTGATCTCTATTAATTGTATTATACTAACTACTATAAAGTATATATATAGTAGAGATCAGTGATCTATGCACGACCACTGTAGGCTACGACTAAAAACAAATTTTGTGTTTTTAGTCCTTTTTGTTTTCAGAAATAACTATGAAAACGGCAAAGCCAAAAATGCTTGTTGAAATGAACCAATGCAGTGTGAGCGTATGCTATCACAGGGGCGTGTACAAGATTTGTACCAGGGATGGGGTCATAGGCGCCGGAAGTGGGGAGGCAGGGGGGCGGCCGCCCCTCCAATCCAAAAATTGGGGGGGGGGCAAAACCAAAAAAAGCCCCCCTCAAATAAAGAAGAGTGGGAAAGAAAAAATAAAATGTATGAGCTAAGACTTGTTAATTCTAACGTTCAAAAACTAATTTATACATCCATTTTAAGTTTTCGCTGCGCGCTTTGCGTGATTGACGCTCACGTCGCACACACGCGCTCACGCACACACGCCGCACACACGCGCTTACGCACACACGCCGCACATACGCGCTTACGCACATACGCGCTAACGCACACATGTCGCACACACGCGCTCACGCACACACACGCGCTCACGCACACATGTCGCACACATGCGCTCATGCACACACGCACACACGTCACACACATGCGCTCACGCACACACGCGCTCACGCACACGCTCACGCACACACGCACACACGCCGCACACACGCGCTCACGCACACACGCGCTCACGCATACACGCGCTCACGCATACACGCGTTCACGAATACACGCGCTCACGCATACACGTCGCACACACGCGCTCACGCACACATGTCGCACACACGCGCTCACGCACACACGTCACACACACGCGCTCACGCACACACGCCGCACACGCGCGCTCACGCACACACGTCGCATACACGCGTTCACGCACCCACGTCACACACACGCGCTCACGCACACATGCGCTCACGCACACATGCGCTCACGCACACACGCGCTCACGCAAACACATCGCACCCACGTCGCACACACGCGCTCACGCACACACGCGCTCACGCATACACGCCGCACACACGCGCTCACGCACACACGTCGCACCCACGTCGCACACACGCGCTCACGCACACACGCGCTCACGCACACACGCGCTCACGCACACACGTCGCACACACGCGCTCACGCACACACGTCGCACACACGCGCTCACGCACACACGCGCTCACGCACACACGCGCTTACGCACACACGCGCTTACGCACACACGCGCTCACGCACACACGCGCTTACGCACACACGCGCTCACGCACACACGCGCTCACGCACACACGCGCTCAGCACACATGCGCTCACGCACACAAGTCGCGCACACGCGCTCACGCACACACGTCGCGCACACGCGCTCACGCACACACGATAAAAAAAATCGTGAGCCCCCTTAGATCTTTGCCCCCCCCCCAATCCAAAACTGCTTCCGGCTCGCCTGGGTGGGGTCTAACCGTAACTCAAACTTGCGAGCACGCGAAGTGGGGGTCTGGATTGTTTTGAAATTAGACCCCCTTAAAGAGTTAAAGAACAAGGAGCGAAGCGAGCCGTATGTATGCTGGCATATGTAAGCGGGCGTGGGGTATGGGCCGCTGAAGGGCCCCAGAAAAAATGTTATAGGAGGTATTGCCTAATGGTAGCTACGGCCTTGCCGGAACGTACCCTGGTACTATCTAATATGCCGAACCGTACCTCGCCTACTCCACTAACGAGTCTAGGGAGTCGCCTACACCTAATCCCTAACCATATCAGATGGTTACCAGGGTACGTTCCGGTATACAGAACCGTAACCAGGGTACGTTCCGGCAGTACCCTGGGGTATAAACCCTATGAGCTTTATTAACTCCTGATAATATACAAGCTTCTGATACAATGTAAATAATTGTTCGTACATAA